AAAAAAAAAAAAATTTATCAATACTAATTAAACGTTTCCTTCTTATTTTTCAAGTATAGGTATGTGGTTTTTCTGATTGATTCATAAATATAAAGGTTTATTCTAATGTATGCCTACGACTTTTTTTTTAAATTCAAACTCTCATCCTACATTAAAAAATGTAATATTGCTGACAAAAAATTTTCCACTAACATAATGTATTGTTCAAAAATTCTTAGGAATTACCAGTGTATTATAATGCAAGTAATGTTAATAAAAAGCTAGGCTTGCTAATATTCTTTGATGTTTCATGTTTGTAATATTGAAATCTGCTAGTTGAGCAACAATTCAGGGAATGTATTACTAGTAAAAAATTTTTACTTTCTTTGCTAAAATTTTATAAATCACGCATAGTAAATTACGTAGGTATTAATCAATTGTTTGACATACAACAGTATTGTGGAGTACAAAAATATAACACATAAGGTATGGTTAATTCAAATTACAAGTGACAAATCATCAAAGAAATGAATTATTTTTCAGTTTCTATTAAACAAATCATTATTGGTGTTGGTAAGTACAACTTTAAATATTATTAAGTTACATGATGTAATTTAAAATAATTCAAGTACCTGTGCAATAAGAGTCTTTCATGTACGATAATTAAAATTTTTTTTTTTTTTCCTAAGATAAAGATGTCAATATAATATTTAGGATTTCATTCCTGCGTCCTTTGATTTACAAAAAATTGTCTTACATGAAAACACGCAAGCATGTGTAATACTAAGAATTTTTAAATAAAAAAATTATGCAAATATACTCATAATTACAACAACATGAACTTTAGAACTATACATCATTTTTGCTCTGAACAAATTTGGATTGCTGAATTCTTTTAATTACACATCAATTACATAGAAACATATTTTTGAAATTTTATCATTTTTTCCGTAAAGATTTTTCGTTTGGATTTCATTGTTTCGATTTGGAAGTATACTTGGAAGCTGGTACATTGTTCTGTCGTACTAATACACCATTATTTTTCATCACCTCTAGCGAACATCGCTATATTTCCCACGGTTGTGTTATTTTGTTTGATTTTACTTGTTTTTTACACGAGTGTCGAGACCAAAGGAATGTCGGAACGAGGCGGATTAAAAAGTCCAGCCATCACGGGCACGCGAAGAAATGTATAAGAAAAAGAGAGAAAGAGAGAGAGTAAGAAGTAGCCACGGTAATAACACTCCCCTCTGTCCCCGCAAACGTCCCTTTTTTTATCCTCTCCCACGAGAAAGAGTCGCGAACAAGATTGCGTTTGCGCAGAAAACGACCAACAGAGGCGAGACTCTTATATGCACAGCAAGTATTATGTATACATGTGTACGCACGTCGTGAGGAACATTGATGGTTTTTTTTTTTGTTTTTTTTTTTCGTCCCTCTAATTTCGCGCGTAATATTGGTGCTTGCGGTCACGAGACGATGCACTTGCAAGTTTCTTTTGCCCGATTTCATTTTTTCTCCGCTTGCATGGGTTTATTGCGCGTTAAGTGTCGTGCGAAAAGTTGCTATAGCAGATATATCTATTCCATTATGGACGTATAAGTAGGGAAAGGAAATTTTACGTACAAGTGTACTTTGTATTGACTTTTAATTCTGTAATTACTACGAGTTTTTTTTTTTTTTCATACGAAAACGCGAAGTTTCGTATTATTTTGTTATCTCCCCTTCCTCTATCGTCAAAGTTTTTTTTTACATTGAATGATTGTTTATTTGCAGTATAATAATAATGTTTTGAATAAATTTTGGTGGAAAAACTGTCGAAAAAGAGGTAAAAACCTCCTTTTAAATATACAATCTTTATTTTAGAATATCGTTAACAGGTGCTGTATACATGGTTTCATAAAGAGTGCTTGATTTGGGCACAGATTAAAAAAAATTTTTTTGAACCACAGTTTTTTGCTAAAAGTATAATTATTTGTGCTAAGTTTAAAAAATATTTTTTTGAGCAAAAACAATGAATTAGAAAAAAAAATTTTAAGTGTAAAAAAAGTATTAAAATAGTTGCTTTCAAATACTTCTAATGAACTGTAATGAATAAAATGTTTCGCAATTATCTCCTAGAAAAAGAATATTTCTAACATTGTATTGTAGACAGTTACAGCCGAAAGTTTTTTCATCAAAAATAATTTAATTTATGTAGGAAAAATAAATTTCTTGTAAGTGTAAAAAATCCATAAAATAATTGTGCCCAGGTCTGGATGTATTTTCTTCGTACTCTCAGTGTAATGTTAAAAAGCTTTGATAAAAAAAAAAATAAAAAAAAAATAAAAAAATCAACATGAATAAATAACACCACAATGCATTTACTACGTATTATAATAACACAACTCACAAATTTTTTAAGTAACATTAAAAATACTATTACTGATTGTCTCCACATGCACAATTTATTTGATGGAGGGAAATAACAAATAAGAACTTGAAATATTTTATGTATTCAAAATAGTAAATTTTAACACTTAGACTGCCAAGTTGAACTTATCGAAACAAAAACGTCAATCATCCCAATCCACTGCATATGTGCGATGCGAGAGTCGTAATCAAATTGAACGTCGTTGCTCAAGTGCAAGTACTGCCGAAGGGATTCCTCGTAAAATTGAAGTCTAAAAATACGAGCGCAGTTACTTCGTTAACCGAAAAGTACCACCCAAAACACACGTACCTACCTACTACCGGCAAAGCGCACGCGGTGTGATATAGTAAGGGACAAAAAACCACGTCACGGCTGTCTAAACGCGTAAAGAGGGGAAGACTGATTTGTTTTCCGAAAAATGGGACTACCACCTTATCCCCCTCTACCACGACACTGAAAAAAAAAAAAAAAAAAAAAAGGATCACGCCGTCACACAACTAAGCGTAGATCTGTAGCGCGTCCCTTTCAAGAAGCAATTAACACCACACGTGTCCAACTAACTCGGCAGCCACTTAATCATCTGCACTCGCGCGTATAGTATATGTACACGTAAAATATCCCGGGCCGATTGAGCGTCACCTATACACGCTACGATGTAAGATCTCCTCGCGTATATGCACGAGTATGACTAATGGCCTCATTATCGCTCGACTTTTCTACTGCGTGCCACATTATGCCCCTATGGATGCACCCGTCGCTCGCTTCCTACGATGCACGCGCTATTCGTCATGACTGACGCAAATGACACGATAGCGCCAAACGCAGCTACAGGCGCCCACCCTTTTTTTTTTTTTTTTTTTTTTTTGCTACAACCCCTGTGTCTTCCCCTCGACTTTTTTCTCTTCCGATTACTCGTTGGTGGGTCGCTTTCTATGAATATTTCTAATTTTTATGAGCGCACTTCGGGAAATTAATTTCATGTCGTCGCCAACCTCCTCCACTGTTATTGTTGTGCTTTGCGCTATGGTATATAATATATACGTACGTAATTGAGAAATATGAGGCACGTCACGAATATTTTTGCTTTTTTGTCTAATTGACGTGTAGCTGGAACGAGACATACTTTTTTTCGTGCCTTTTTCTTTTTCAATGCGAACCATGAGAGTACTGTGTGGAATAATTATTAAAAAATTTGTTTTCTTTTTTCAAGCGAGAGTCAAATCATTTTTTTTTTTCTACTCCTTGCTTTTTCAACTCGCAAAAACTACTTTTTCCACTATAAAATCCATCTTTTTTTCAGACGTGTAAAAGTTACAACATACATTTATTTCTTAAAACGAGGAAGTGCAATAATAAAAAAAATAAAATAAAATAAACTGTTTCGGTATACTACAGTTGAATGAAAAATTTGACCAATAAAACAACAATGTCGAAAAAAAACACTTCCCTTCATTCGAGATGTTTTCCAAAGATGTTTTTTCTCATCTCTCCGTGTTTCTCTACATTTTCGTAAAAATATCGTAGGTATCATTTGCAAGAAAATGATCCAAGTTGGAATTGAAGCAAGACGTATACATATTATTTCCTCCTCCCCATCTAAAGTCCATCAGAACTGAATCCAACTTTATTTCCCTTCAATGAAGCTTCGTATCAAAAGAAACAGCACCACCCGGAACCTCCAACTGCAACCTTCCCGCGACAATTCACAAAAAAAATCTTCTCCACCTACATTTATTTGGACTAAATAATAAATGGGAAGCAAAAAAAAAAAAAGAAAAGTTTTTGTAAAAAAAACCATCA